GGGGGGGGGCGGGCAAAAGGATGAAAGACCAGGCCTGACCTCATGGGTGATCCTGCTTTGAGCAGGAGTTTGGACTAGAGACCTCCGGAGGTCCCTTCCAGCCTGAATTATCCAACAGTCTAAATAAACATAAAGATTTTTTTGACCACTTGGAAACGTTGGTATTTAAATTGAAATTGAATTTTAAACCTCACTGTTGCTTTGCTCAGATGATTTTATAAAAAACGGTTTCCCAGGCTTCCTTTATACATTTTTCTTGATCATTTAAAAGCATGCAGCATCTTTTCAATGTGTGTATTATCATTAGTTTCCTTGTTTCATACTTTATCCCCTCTAACATTGCATTCCACCTCCAGATTAAAAATACATTTTTTCACACTTTGTTCAACTTTGTTTTCTTCTTTAGTAAATTCAACCTGCAAATCTTAGTCGCCTTTTTTGTGGTCTTCTCTCCTTTCTCATTTACATCACAGGAAGTTAGAGGTTCAAGGGGGCTGGGGAGAGGAGCGAGATGGGCTTTTGTAGTTGCAGTCTTTGAGCAGCCTCTTGTGAGGTTAATTTTGACACTTGCTGTTGATAACTGACTTCTTTTTAAAAAGAACTGTCTGAGGGTAAGTTATGGTGCCTTTTCGGATTCCACAGCCTTCTTCCACATGTGGATTTTTGTAATAGCTCCAATCTGACCTTCTTCATTAAATTACTTAGTTCCATAGAATCTTGAGTTCTTGAAATCTGATATGCCAGTCTGGTTTATTATGTACATCTATCTTGTATCTGCATTCCGTGTACTAAATTCAAGTGGCTCTTGCTCTCTGATTTCAATCTACCACCGGTTTCTCTCTGCTGATAAGAAATGAATTCAATATGTTTCCCATTGACCCATTATTGAGACTGCAAAGTTATTCTGTATTAAGTAGAAGCCAACTTTGATGCATGTTCAGTATATTTTTTTGCCCAGTGAATCTATGGGAAGATAATTTCTCCCACAGTTGTGGTATCCGGTGATTTCCAGTCCTGTGAGAAATGGCCGTGCATTTTTTTAATTCTCACTTTCATCTGGTTGTGATGGTTTATAAGCAGATGTTTATTGTTCTCTCTCTTTCTTCCCCCCTTCCCATTCTTGCAAACTTAATACAAAGCCAGTTGCTACCACTGTTTTCATTGTCACTTTAAAATCTCGTGCATAATAATTGCCCATGATTCATAATATCATTTTAATTATCTTTTGGGATCCTCAGTGGTTAATTCACTTTTCCTGCTCACAAAAAATTGTGTTTAAAAATCACAAGTCACTTTCCAATAATGTTAACTCTACAGCAGCTTTAAAATCAAGTTTCAGATCTGTATGTCTATTTTTGTAAAGCAGTCCTTGAGTTTACAATAGAAAGTGAGATGTTTACTCAAGTAATGCATCTGATTTAACTTATTGTGTGGTATGTAATTATAAAAAAACTTTCCACATGCAACAAATATGTATCTTTGTATGCAAACTTGTTTGAAGAGCAGTTAGGCCATATTTTTATGATTTCTTTTATGTCTTTCACTACTAATCTATTTTGTGGCGGTGTTTGGTATATTTCTGTCCCTGAAGTCGCGTTGAAGTCTGCTTTAAATATAATTAGACTTTATATTTATGAATTTTCTAGCTGCTTATGGAATGGCTACCCCAAAGATATTGGAAATCGTATGGTTTTGTCTGCAGATGAATTCAACATCTAAAGGATAAAATCCTGAATTAGAAGTGAGAGTTCCAGACTTAGATTATTTTTATTTGTTTGCTTAAAGAAAAGAAAATGCTCACTGAATCTTGAAACTGTAGTCAATAGCAAGAGAGAATACTAATTTTCTGAAATGCTTGTTTTATGGAGCAGATCAGGCAATAACTTGCAACTATTGTTCTTGGTATCAACAAGATCATATGTTTTTCTTTCCCTCACCAGTAAAAGGTCTAAGATTTTCCCTATGCCAAGATCTTTGTCACTGACTGCAATTTTTTTTTTATATTGAGGGAACAGCTTTATCTGCTGTCTCCCTGAACAGTATCTTCAATACTTTTTTTTTTTTATATCTTGTAGTATATATTGTTGGGAAGAGGATTTATGCTACCCGATGTCTCCTGAGTTTTTTTTTTTTTTGCTTTTCTCAATATTGCTGACATGGCATTTAGTGATCTGTTGAAGAGATAAGATTTCAAAAAGTTATTTTCTTGGTTGTCATCTAGTGTCAATAATGTGGACCTGAATAAATACCTTTTCATAGAAGTCCCATATTTAAATGGACTTTGGGTACAGGCCTTATGTGATGTTTTCATGTTGTGCAAAATCATATAAAAAATAATATGAATTTTATATTTGAGATGTATTTTATATAAATTATGTAGTTACAGTAACTGTGCCTTGAAATAAGTCATATTAAAATTGAATTTACAGCTGTTGAAAAGGTTCTGTCAAGAGACAGCATTATTATGAATTGAAGGTAATGTTTAGTAGATTAGTAATTTTGATTGATTTATCTTTGCATGAAATACTAAGGCTTTTTTCTTGATCACAGACAACCTATCACAACAAGTTTGTGTTATTACCAATGTGAGGGATGCAGTTGCACAAGTAGGTTTTCTCCTTCACGAGTCTCTGAAAAGCCAAATAAAAGTAAGTACAACTCTATGGCTGTAAACTGTATGATTAATGTAATGTTTCTGGTTGTCACAACTCTTAAAAAATGGTCTAAATAATGTGAATGCAGAAACGGAGACCTCCTGTATTTATTACAAAGGATTAACACCAGGTGTGGAAGTTACTAAGAGAGACGCATCTTCTGCCCAATTATGCCGTAGAGGGAGATCTCACAGATCCTCTTAAAATGTATATATTAGATTAGAGAAGAAAGTGGATCCAGACAACAGAGAGGCCATTTCTTTAGATTTTATAAATTAGGTAAACCTAAATTGTTACAAATGTTACAGAGGAAATGCTTTCATTACTTTGAAGTCTGCATTAAAGTCTGAACCAGTTAAAGAGTAAGTTGTGTTCCTGCAGAGCTGTGAATGCAAAGTCAAATTAATCAGCCTTTTTGCAGAGAGGTAGGGGTACTTTTCCCTCATAGTGAGTGCTCATTGAAGCCTTTGCTGTAGCATATTGATGGAGTTTTCTACTGACATTTAACTATCTTTTCCTTTTTCATTATTCCTACTAATAGAACTATCTCATATTTTCATTTTCCCTAAGGTGATTAACATTTGGTAATTGCTTAAACCATGACTGATCTTGGGGTGATTCTTAATTATATCTTATGTGATGATATCACATCTTTCTATTACCCAGAGAAATAGACAGGGAATAGCTGTTCAAAAATACAGGTTTCCTGTTACTTCTGTAATGGTTTTATTCATGTCTATTGATCTTCTACGTTGTGTACTTAGTTAATAGTAGAATGTTTTTCTGTAGCTAACTGTATTGCCATTTTTTATCTAGAAATGTCAGAGAATGTATTATGTTCAGTCAGCCAACACTGACCCCAAACTTAGCAACCTCAAATCAGGCTGGCACCAAAACTATTTGAAATTTCCAACATAGTTCCAAAGTTTCACTGCAAAACTACTTAACTGTTGGGTTGGTCAGGCACCTGAACCTGTGGTGCATTTTAATAAAACACATGTAAAATGACCACAAACAAGGTAATGAGGGCATAAAATGAATGGGTTTCTACTGATATGGGACGAAATTTTTTTGATGGCTCTAGTAAATCAGTTTACTTAGTGGATGATTTCTTCCACCGTTCTTCTCTTTTTTGATCCATGTTGTCTTTCATCATAATGAGGTTGATTGTTAAATTTCTTTTCAACACTCAAAATGTTCCTGCAAAGCAACACCTGCCAAAGAACTCCATCAGGGACCCTGTCTTGTATTGTTCCTCAAAACATCCTTAGTCATTCATTTTATGAACCCTTAGATTGAAAATTTATAAAAAGTAATATTTATGTATTGTCTTGTTTTTTAAACAGTAAAATCTCTAAGAGTTAATTTTTAAGGTTACCAAGATACAGAACTTCTAAATTTGAAGCACCTTAGAAAGCCTATACCTGGCGTATGATTTCTCAACATGAGCACAGTAAACTTTTGTGAGAGAGATTTGACTCTGTACAACGTGATAATTATTTTAAGCACATTAAACGTATCACACTGAAAGCTGGGTCTTTTCAAAGGGCTAATTGGAGGGTAATCGATCTAAATAAGACACTAATTGGGGATAATTCAGTAGAGTACATATTATCTGAAATTTAAACTAACTATGGTCAATATTTTAGCATTTTAGATAGTTTGGACAATTCAGTTCTTAGTAGCAGCCGTATTTATTTTTAAGATATTTGTTAACTTCTTGGTGTGTCCTTAAAGAATCCTTAAAGAAGAATTCAAGAGAAATTTTCTTAGAGGGCTTTCCGAGAGAGACTCCGATAACACGATAATGCTAATAACAGGGGAAAAAAGACCTAAAAATTAAACTGATATACAGAAAATTAAAATAAAAGCTTTTCTAAAAGAAAAAAATTAAAGCAACAGTTATTGCTTGCAAAGTGCTTTCAGAGTAAGTATTTTAATCACTGTTACTCTAAACTGTATAACTAATAAGTGAATGTTTTGCAGAAGATATCTTACTGTGAAAGACGTAAGTTGAGTTTCTCCTTACGTTTGTTTTTTAGCCTTCTCTTTTGAAGCGAGAAAACCCAAATGGGGACTGAAGGTGTTTTCCTTTGTGACTGGAAATTATGTACTCCTGCTTATTCAGTGACAAGGTGCTCCTGTCATGTGAAATGTCATCAACTGGCTAAAGTTGAGTGTTATTTTTGTGACTGGATAAATATCCACAAGCAGTATATAAAAATACTTGGTTGTTTTAAATTAGGAAATGAGCTAGATTTTCACTAGTAGAAATTCACTGATTTCTTAATCATCTGCCAGATTAGTACAAATTGTGATTTTAGATTCTGATACAATTTAACTAACTCTTACAGATTCCCAATGTCCTGCTATTATTGTCTGATTTTATGAAAGTGGATGTTGAATAAAGTTGAAAATTCAGCACAGGGCATCTGATAAGTAGAAAAACATTAAAGAAAACATATTTTTTATTCCTGTCCTCGTGTTCAGAAAAACTTACCATCTTTGCTTCTTTACACTAGCTAAATATCAATTGCTACAATGACCAGAAATGATTAAGCAAATCTGTATGCTATTTTCTATTGAAACATTGAAACATTATGTGACAGACACTTTTTACTGAGGTGGCATTTTCAGGTAATTTTTGCTCTCTCAAGAAGCTGATAACTTTGATTAATATTAATTTTAATAAAAAATACTTTTGCATAGGTTACAGACATGTCAAATAGAATAAGAATTAATTTTAGTTAATTGATGATGTATTGGCACTTCTAGTTTAGCAGCCTAGCTTACTTTTCCAAAAGAGAATCTGATTTAATTTTTGCTGGATAATATAGCTGTAAAACAAACGCGAAGTATAGCTCTTTATCACAGTGTTCAAGTTAAATCAAAATTCCGATACATTAAATTAATTTTTAAATGTTTAGGAATACTTAAGCATCATCTGTTGTAATATCTTAAGGAAAAAGAAAAACTAGGCCTTCTCCCTTGAGTCATGTTCCATTTACCTTCTGAAAAGACTGGCATGCAATATGCTCCTGTTCATCTAAGTATGTGCAAGGTTATGAAGGAACTGGGGATTTCTGACTTTACTTCTGCAGAAGTTCAAGCCAGAAGAGCCCTGCACTACTGCATTTTTAAAGTATTTTAAGTAATTCTTGCCTTCTGTGATATTTTTTTTTTTTAATCTCTTTAAAATGTTAAGTGTCAACTATTTGGGACTGTGTTATCAGATTTTCAGCCCAGAGTTTTTCTAAAATCTTTAATGCATAAATATCAACTTTCAGGTTTCAAACCACCTTCCTTTGCAAACAAGTTAGCTCCCCAAGCATTACAGAAATAAACAAATACAGCTTTAGATAACAGCGCAAAGCCTTTTTAAATGTTGGTTTTGGTACTTCTGTTGGATTGTGGATTAAGTGACATTTCGAGGGAACACAACGGTGTATTGCTTTTGTTGTTTGCTGCTATATATAACATGTCTTCTGGGCAGAAATGAACCTCATTTGAGCAGTGGAACAGTTTAATAGCAGCAACATGAATATTTTTTTTGCCTTATTTTCAATCTTTTTAATTGGCTTCAAAGTGTTATCTTCTCTTAGTGAACACATTCCCCTTCCACTACCTGGTTTGCTGTTTTACTTAAGACAGTCTTGAAGAGGATAATGTAGTAGAATCTACTTTTAATTCTAATTAGGTTAAGATCATTACTTAGCTGGTGTTACAGTTAAAGGTTGCAAAATAAATGTCTAGGATCTATTTTAAAGTATTCATTGAGGAAACACTTTTCAGAAGAAATTCTAAATGACTCTTGTCATATGCAGAATCTTAGAACACCTGTTCATATGTATTTCATTTATTTTGTTAGTTGCATGAAGAGAATATATGTATGTATTTGAACATTATAGAGATTTTCTGAGAATTAGAGGTCTAAAATCATTAGATCCTCTTGATCCTATGAACAGTGTTTCATCTCTGGGAACAGTTGAACATCCTAACCCAGGCAGCAGGGCTGGTGTCTGATAGTTCCAGGGCTGTTTCTGGAGTGGGTCCCCCCAGCAGTATGCTTCAGCAAAAACTTGCAGAAAACTCTGCAGGGTGTTGGACTCCATGTTGCACCTGAGTCACCTGAAAGTCGGAGCAATTTTTCATTCTTATGGTGGAAATAATAATTGCCACCTTTAAATCATTTGAATACACAAACTGTGCGATAATGGTGTAAGCTTTAGCAGAGAGTTAAGCTTAAAGTCAAATTTGTGATACAGTAATTTATTTTTTTTTAATCAGGTTGAAGCTATATCAGTATATCTAAGCAAAACCGATAGCCATCTACAAAACATCCTTTCAGGACAGTGCTACAATTTTATTTGCGTAAATGTAAGTAGTAACAACACATGCTTTTAGTTTTGCACTTCAACTTACTGGTAATGGTGAATAATAATTACATATTTGAATAATAAGTTGTTTGTTATTTCTATTCTCTTGGTGTATCCCTTCCAATGTTTGGTGTTTCTGATGTGCACCAAACTAGACCTTTGAGATACTGGTCTGTTCTTTATCTCCTGGTTCTGCACTTCCATCAGTATGTTGTTAAACCTGCCATGAGTTCTTGAACAAGAGGGATGCAACTGAAAGTAGTTTAAAATTTCCTGTCGTAGATATTGTATTGAGGTGAATTGTCTCAAGAAGAGATATGTCATATGTATGGTCATCTAACTGTGCGTTGCTACCGTGGTCTAAATGAGCTTTTCCCATTTTGGACACATGCATGCCATGCAATCTGTATTTGGGTCCCTGTATGGGAACAGGAAGTTTTTAGATGAACCATATCTGAGACCAATCAAGACCCTTAAGCTTGTTATTTACACACAAACGCACACACACACATATATATATATTTTTCTTAAGGGTAATATCATTAATCTCAATTATTTTTAAACAACTATAACTTTACCAGACAAAACTATTACGAATATATTAAAACCAACCAACCAAGTAAAAAATCCCAAAACAAAAAAAGTGTTGTATCTTTTTTTTTTGGTAAATAACAGATCTTTAAATTCCATTTTTATGAAATCAGTGTTTGATGTTTTCAGTAATTCTAAACATCTCTTTTCATTTAGGACAAAAAGTGTGCCATTCAAGAGACCCAGCAACTAGTGGATAAGTTGGAAAAATCAAATATTCCTCTTTTATATCCAGTTGTCCTTATTTTGGTAGGTAACTCCTTGAAGTTACTGTAGAAAGCATCTAATGAAATATTTTTTAAATGTTGGACTAGTTTTAAACTATTTCAAGAGATGCTGCTAGCTCTGAATACAATTGTAAAATTTAACTGTAAATTGGACTGTAAAGAGCATAATTTGCAGTTCAGCAAATGTACTGCATGCTGTCAGGAAATAAGCCAACACTAGCAAATGACAATTTATGAGGTTTATATTTCTGTAAAAGGCTCGTGGCTAGTCTTATTGAACTGTTAACTCCTGCTTTGCTGTTGTGCTTCATCTCTGCTGTGGATGCTGCAAATGAGGTACTCTGCTTGAATGCTCAGTTGAAACAGAATTAAGTGGCTTTAATTTTTTTCTGTGCAGTGTGTTTTATTGAAAGTTTTAAAATTAGTGTTGCTTTTTTGGTCCAAGTATTAAAAATTAACTTTGAAGTACTTTGCAGTATAACTTTAATACATACTGTACTTACTGAGATATTGTAAGACTGAAAAATCTATTCTGGTAGAATTTTTAAAGTGTATTTTTGACTGAAATTCTCATTATTTGAATATTGCTGCCAGAATAATTTAACAGTTCGTGTGGATGACAGCTGAAGGTGTATGTGACTTTTATTTTATTCAGACTGTTAAGAAGGAGAAAATATGAGTAGACTTAAAAGTCTCTGTGCAGTGTAACCGGATCCAATTAATTCTGTCATTATGTTTTCTGGCGTAATAGGTAGGGAAGAGAAGTATTGGGTGAAATGAGTGTCATTAATGCCATATGTCACCAAGGATTGTGCCTCTGGAATATATTTATTGTACTCTCCAGCAATAATGCAAGATAATATGTTGTGATTTTAAAATATAATGCCATATATGAAGCTCTTGAAAAAGGAATACATATTTATTTTACCTGAGGCCTGAATTGTTTCTGAAGTGCACAGTCTAGTGATCTGGAGGTAATTCTGGGCATTTACTTCTCAATTTTAGGCTTAATCTGAAATTTAATGAAATTTTATTACTGATCTAACAAATAAATAAGATATGATGAAGATCGATTACTTTTACAAATGAAACAAGTTCTATCCTTACCTATTTTATACTGTTGTCTTGGGGTGAGCTACTGTGATTCTATGAACATCAATATTTAGCACTTTATTTCCAGACCATCTTTTTTTCTTGACCCAATTTCTGAGTAAGTTCAGAGTAGAGCTTTAATTTTCCTGAATTTTCAAAGATAAATTATTTCTGCCTTTGATAATCAGAGTAGTGATACGCCTTTGATTCTGTTGCCCATTTACAAGGCTACTGGATGTGCAGAATGTTCTTTTCTGGACCGCGAATGTTTTCATTAGCCCTTTATCAAGAATATAAAGAGCATTTCTGTCTCTTAAAGTTTGCGGGTGTGCAGACAAAGTTAGACATGTTAATCAACTAGGTAATACTAGAGTGTTAAAAGCGTGCTTATTTTGTGCCCAATTCGTAGTTGATCTCAACTCTGGACTTGGAATTTAAGTACTTTTTTAGTGTGACACATGGATTGTGAGAGCTTTGTTTTAATAATTGCAGCTATAACTATTCTGGGCTTAATATTTCCTGAGAAGTAGGTATGAATGCAAATAATGCTTACACAGGCTCACCATGAAAGTCAGGTTCTGCCCCTAGGATACTAGATCTTGAAGTCATTGTAGAATCCAGCACCATTTTTAAAGAAAGTGTACTTGCTTGAGCAGCCCGCAGCATGCACAAATTATTTAGGTGGACATCTTTTAAAATAGCCCCAGGAGAAAAGGATACTTTTAGTCCCTTTACTGTACTGCAGACCCATCAGTTGTTCCTGACAACTACTTGAAATTTCCCAAAACTAGACAGTGGGAGAAAAGTCTTATAACTAGGTGGAAACAGTTGCTAACATTCAAAACACAGATACGCATATATTTGGTAAAAGTATCTATATATAAAGTATATAAGAATGAAGTACCCTAACTATGAAAAGGCATTTTATGCTACACATCCAAATTTTATGGAGTAACCACACTATCTTTTAGAAATATAAGAAGGAAAATATAGGGGGACTGGAAAGTATGCTTTAAATGACTAAAGAATTAGCTAAACAAATCATTGTCTCATATTAATTACTGGGAACTACTTAAGTCCTTTAAACTTCCAACCCCTGAAACTTATTAGAGATGGTATAGCTGGGGGACAGAATCTTCCTTTAGCAGTCTTTAATTAAATTCAGTGTTGGGTGTCCTCTTCACTAAGGCTTATGATGGGGATTCTCTGCAGCTTTATTCTTTGCTAGATACTTCATTTAACATAAAACCTGAATGCGTTGTCACTGAAAAGTCCTATAAGACACTTTCTTTTGATGTAAAGGGCACATTAATATTTCTCAGGCAAACATGAGTCAGAATTTTAAGCAATATGATGACATTTAAATGCATAGGTTCTATGTATTTCTTTACTATCCTGATAATAATAATAATAATAAAAAAATATCTGTGAGAGATCGAGCTTACAAAAGAATTTTGTTTATTTTCTGATTTAATGAAATATTTTTGATATGCAGTTAGAACATTGTGTTCTGATGTGTTTTGGCATATTGGTTTCACTGTGCTTTGAAAAGAAATAATTTTCATGTCAGTAAATATGTAAGTAGTGGAATTTAATAGTAATAGAAGGTAACTAAGAAAAACCTTTGTTAGCCAGTAAATGAGACACTAAAAACTGGCAGTCTAAAATAACACACTATGGAAAAAGTTAATTTTTGTCTTTTTTTTTTTCTTACTTGTTCCTTGGCAGGTGCACTTGGATATTTCAGAAAATATTTCTTTCAGCATTGGGATGGAAGAACTAACTAGGATCAAGAAATTTGCAAGGGAAGTGAAAAAGAAAAATATTTTGGTTTATGGTCTGCTTATCCAATATAAGGTACATATTTCTTTTACTACATTCAAATTATCTTCTTTTGTGATTTATATGATTAATGATAGAATCTTCCTTTAAAACAAAATCAAAGGGAAAAAATATTACATGAGAAAGATGATTTTGGAAGATTCTTGCCTGTTCTTGTCCAAAATTCAGAAGAGCCTGTAGTTATAGGCAAAGGTGTAAGCATTTTGATTAGAGTAAATGTAAACATTTTTTAGAAGCACGTGAAATGTCAGGGCCCTTTTTCTTTTTGCTTTTCTGCTTTGAAACTTGCTTTTGCGGCATTAAAAAAGTAAAAAATAGTAAAAGTACATTTGATCAGTGGTTCTGCAGAATTTTACATTCCTTGTCAAGACAGTGTTTGGTATGGCAGAAAGGGCATAGCATACAGGTGTGGAAACAAATGGTGTCCATGTCTGCAATAGCAGTAAATTGCCTCAGCTCGGGGCAGAAAGGGAGACTTCAGCATCCTTTGTACTCACAAAAGCTATTTAAAATAAACTGGTTTACCTTGGAAACATGTTCTGCCAACAGAAAAGTGGGCTTCCTTGCCTTCAGTGCAGATATAGTCTTCGCAGCTTCTTAATTTAGTCAACAGTGAAGGAAGAAATCAGCTAGATATTCAATGGAAATTTTAATAAAAAGGAATAAATGTAATCTCAACTGATTTTATGTGTTTTTTTTAGTTAGGTGTTTCGGTTTATATATAACTGATTGATCATGGCTATAGTGATACATCCTTTTCTGGTGCCAATAACTTGATTTTCCCTCCAAATTATATGGCTGTATTAAGAGCTATAAGTATCAACACCTATCAGTTTATGCTTTTACAGACTTCTGATCCCAACAGAATATGAATAATGCTATTATATGACACTAGTTTGTCTCTTGTTCGTACAACATAGAAGGGCATACAGCTACTTTTGATCTTCTTTCTGGTACTGTCAAACCCCATTGACCCTCAGCAATATGAGATCTGAATGGAAATTCTTGATCCTTGGTGGTAAGAGAATTGCAGCAGAATGCTGCCTCCCTTTTTTGAAAATAAAAACTAGAATGATTATGTAAGATCACTGGAGGAAGAATTGTCATTTATTAGCATAGAAAAAGTATTATATAGAGTAAAACACTTTGCAAAGTAAGCAAACTATTTCTAGCTGTCTTGTATTAAAATGGCTTTAAAACATGTCCTGCTTACAAAGATGGGGATATAGTCCTGAGTTCCTGCTTGTCAGTGTTTTGATAGATGACTAACAAATAGGTTATACAGGTAATGTGTATATATGTGATGTATGTATCAAGTGTTCTTTTGGCTGCAGATCTACAAAGAACATAATTGTTCTAGGTGAAAGCCTATGGAAAAACCTAACATATGACTCTAGAAATGTCGGAACCCAAACTTTATTGCTGGTCTGGGGGAGAGTGAGACGGGGGCACTGTGATCAAAAGCAGTTTAAGTGAAAAGACATCTTTTGAACAGTTTTGGTTTTTTCAAATTCCAAAGCATGGTTTGAGAGTCACCAAGGTTATTTTACTTTAATAGGTGAATCCATAGAGGAATTCCATGCTTGAGGATGGAAAGGTGAATTTCATACAGGCATGATGGGGGGTCCAGAGGATGTAGAAACACAAAAAGCACCTGCTGCTCTATTGCAGGTTACTCAGCCTGTTGTTGCAATAACTTTTGTCGGTGTCAGCCTTCCAGAAGTCCCTGAAAGCTGTAGTTTATTTCAGGAAAAGAGTGATGACAGAATACTTCATAGAGCTTCCCACTAGCTGACAGGTTTATATCATCACTGTCAGACATGCACAGTTGATATACACACATTTACTAATTCAAAAACAGGGATAAAATGCAAGGGATGAGGAATTTATTGAGACACATGACCATGGTAATACTGAGGTGAAATTATGTTATGTTTAGAAGGGTTATGTGATTAAGTAGGTGTGATGATATGTTGATATAAAGGAATATGGAGGCACTCTTTAAGATTCTGCATTAAAAAAAGTAAATTTGTTGAAATAAATATTTTTGAGGGATATAATTGGTTTTTTATGTTTTGGAAGTGGAAGTGAAATGCTTTTGGAGCCTATGAGTACATGTTTGACAGTATTAGAGGAGATGTGAAGCCCTAAGAAAAAGTATAAGTCTTAATTTAAATTTCTTAAATGCAGTGTTTATTTGGCACTTAGAAAAATATATCAAGTACTTCTATGAATATTTGAAGTAGCTAATCAGAAAAATTAAAGGAAAAGGCTTTAATGTGCTTTATAAATGACCTGCTTTGTACCTTCCATTTGCTCAAAATCAGTGCGTGATCACTGCTTGTACACAAATAGTTATTTCTTTCATGAGCACCATGCATGGAATACCAAATTACTGATAATAAAACAAAGATTGGATCCACTTCATAACAGCTCTTGTTTGCATCCTGGAAATACTGTTGGTTTAAATTTTACTTATGAAAATATTTTTAAAGACAGTTCTTTTCTAAAACAGTTCCTCAATGTTAGAAATGGTTTACATAGTCAAGAAACAGAGGGGAAGAGTATTCAGTAAATTCCAGAGTCTGAACTTGTGGCGTTAGCTTTTGAGGGTTTTTCTAGCTGATAAGCAAGGTGAATGAAAAATATGGAAGGTATAACCAGCATATGTTGATGACAATGTTAATAAAATTCCAACTGTTTTGATTTAGTGCGTACTTCACCTTGAAAATAGCAGTGACTGGTATGGTATTATTATGGATCAGAATAAGAGGTTTTTTAGTAGTAGTTGGTCTAGTAAGGTGTAATGTAGAACAGCCAATTTTGAATGTTAGGAGGAGAAGCTATAAAACCAAGCCAAGGTATTCTTAAATAAACAAAGTTTTACTTAAAAGGGGTGTTAAGAATTGCTAAGAAAGCAAAGAATACAAAAAGTAATGTCAAGACATTTCATCCGTGCAGGGTTAGAAAATATATTAATCTTAAAAGCATTGGTTTATGTCATTCAAACTACAAGATTTGAGAGCTGCCTGCAGTAGCTATTTGTTGATCTGTTTTCTGAGCAATGGAATACTATGAAACTTGTGCCTTGATCTCACAAACACATGCATTATTATCTTTAAACGTATCCTATGTAGTTAATGGTTTTACACTTAAATATGACAGGAATGTTTTACAAAAAAATACTATTTATTTTCTTTATTTACTGCTATTCTCCCTTTTATAATAATAATGTCTTATGACTGAATTACATGAAATAGTCAACATACATAAAAAGAAAATATAAGCAGCATTTCCTAATATTGTAATGCAAATTCAGAAGCTTGTAGAGGTTTCAGTAATAAAGTCTTGGTCTAGAAGTTTCAGTAATAACTTTGTTACTTTTTACAGAGAATAAAGAGGAACAATTATCATCCAAAGTAAAGCATGTGTGGATGGACGTAAGAAGCCGCAGAAGGTTTTAAAATATGAAAGTAATACTAAAATATCTTGGTTATAGAACTATATTAATTTTAAATAATCCTACTTCAGAGAGGCACTGACAGAATGTTGGGTCAGAAAAGCAAATATGTGCTAAGGCTTGCCTGGGGTAAGGTGGCCCCACATACTTTTGCCTCTGAAACTGCTATTTGATTAAGATAAAGGAACTATTGACTGACGGCCAGAAAAATCACAGTCCATACACTAAAAAGAGACAAATGACACAATAGAATAGTTGTTATAAAGCCGCTTGAAACTAAAAGGAAACTGAACTGTGGGTGATTTCTTATGCAAACATACTGGACATTTATTGTAGTCTTTAAGACTTTTTGAAGACAAGAGTCCCATCTACCGTGTGCTTGACAGACACAGTGTGCTTGATGGCTCAAGAAATACTTAGAGTGCTAAATTTGTTTTCTGTCTGACTTGGTAACCGTTTATGGCTTCTTTCTCATCAAAGATCCTTTAAAAATAGTATTATGTGCAGACATTAAGGCAGTGGTTCTCAAAACAGGGATCACAACCCCAAATGGGATCGTCCAGGTGGCAAAGAAGAAGGTGGTTTGGCAACCATTAGTGAGATAATGAGCCCGAAGGGTAAACGAATTAAAATCACAAATTAAAAATTTGATAACTCGAAGACAAGTGAGCCATGCCCTACATGACCCATGCATGCTTCTTAATTCATTTAATATTCAGCATAGAATTGGTCAAATGATTGCAGTCTGATTAGAATGATGCAGTCGTGACTGCGTATTTTGCACTAGGTAGAACTTACATGATGAAAAAGATTTACAAACCCTGACTTCTAAAATAAAACTACAAGTAACTCTTGATGGAATTTTCAGTGAATAAAAGATGCAGAACTGGAGGATCTATTAACTTGATACTCAAGAAATCAAGTGTAAAACTGTCCTTTTGCCTTGGGAATCGTTCTCACAAAAATAGTAAGATTGCTCGTAAAGGACAATATTCTGAATGGGCTGTATCTCCTTCTAATGCCTGCAAAAGATGGTAGTAGAATTTATGGAATAAAATGTTTATAGGTGATATTTTTCATATATCAATTTTCAGATCTTCAGTAATTTCAGTAATATTTAACTTATCTTCATATTTGAGTTTTGCAGTTGGGTGGAGATTTGGAGCAGATTCACTTCCTCTGGTGAAAAAGGTTATAGTTTCACCGAGAAGAATCATTGTGTTCCATCAATATTTTCACACACACAATTACAGATAACTTTCTAACCCACCTTGATAGTTTTGTCTTTGATTTTATTTTGAAATCTCCAACAGCCCATCATTCATTTATATATTTTAATGGGTGAATGTGTGGAAATCTTAAGATGCTTTGTTCAAAAGGTGTATGATCAAAATCATTGGTCCATCTGGTTGAGTAGATCATCAGAATTTTTTGTCTGTCAGACTTGCACACATGAAAGCACCTTTACAGGAACTTCTGAAATTAACATGGTTTTAAAATATAGATTTAGTCATGCTGTTCCTAACAACTGCCTGTTAGCACAACATATTTCTGT